TATAGAATCTGAATAAAAAGTTAAAATCATTATAATTATAAAATCATCTATAATAATATATCAAAGGAATGAATGACTGATTCTAATTTTGATAAGATACATGACCAACCAAAGTGATTAGTGGACGATACATACCTTCTCTCTGTCATTAAACCATTGTATGCAGTACACTAATTTAATACTCTACACATCTGACAATATAGGTCAAGAGGCTTTTCTATTTAAATCTTATTGTGGAACTAGCTAGCATTTTTGAAATTATAGCACCCTGGTACCTTTGTTTTAAAAAATGAAGGAAAAGAAAGAAAATTAAAAAAATAATAATCTAAAGCAGTTCAAGCCTCACCATCGCAAGGGTTCCCCACAGACTCTGAATCTACCATCACATATAAGAAAGGTGCTATGGCCTACCTAACTGCATCTTTGGAACCAAGTAAAAGAATTTTTTGCTTGAGGAATATTGATGGGGTATGCCTTATTCTTTCTGCAATAACGCCAACCATAAGCATACCATTAGAATTATTCTTTGCTTGAAATGGCATCGCTAGTGTCTAATTTTGAATTCTATATGTGTGGTACGTAATGTCTGCTCCTAAAGTTGCACATATTGCATCTTGCAATTATTAAAATAAGACTTGAATTATAATATTAATTTCTATCGGAATATTAATCACACTCAGATATAATTGATGCCTTTTATTTCTTTCGAGTATAAAATGAAGGAAACGAACCACTGGATCCGGGACAAAGATGTGTATAAACAAACTACTCCCTCCATTTTAAAATATAAGTTATTTTAGAAAAGAAAAATTATTTTATATATCTTTAATTACTTTTTTTTCCAATTTTATCCTTTGTATCGTCACTAAGTAAAAACATTAATGGAGTAAGAGAGCTATTTCGTTAAATATGGTCATGCATGTTATCCGAAAAATGATGGTGTCTAATAATTTTTTTAATACATGTGCAAAAAATATATTAAATAATGTTTAATATGGTCAAAGACATGGTAAATATTATTAGATGCAAATGACTTTTCGAGTTTTCGTGTTTGGCAAGATAATGACTAAAAAATATATCGGTTTCAAGTTAAAATTGCTATATTAGAGCATTGATGGATCAAGAAAACTGGAGAAAGATAAGATTCAAGCCAAAAGTGTTATTTCATGCTGCAGCTCAACTAGCAAACATAAAAACGTGCTGATTTTCAAACTTCTTTGCTGGCTTGCTGTTACAAGTCCTGCATTGGTTGCCTATACAACTAATGTGGGATTTATAAAGTCTTCGGCACTCCCACCCTTTGAGCTACCTTTTGGGGTGGTGATCTCAAGACTTCATTCATTGAGAGTTGAAGCCGCCCATAGGGGGAAAGGGCTACCGTCGGGTCAGTGTCGATAGAGTGAAAGCCGCCGTGGACGTCGGCTCTTAAAGGGGGTGGCAATGTTACAAGTCCCGCATTGGTTGCCTATACAACTAATGTGGGATTTATAAAGTCTTGGGCACTCACACCCTTTGAGTTAGCTTTTGGGGTGGTGATCTCAAGGTCCGTAACAATTGGTAATGTTACAAGTCCCGCATTGGTTGCCTATACAACTAATGTGGGATTTATAAAGTCTTGGGCACTCCCACCCTTTGAGCTAGCTTTTGGGGTGGTGATCTCAAGGTCCGTAACAATTGGTGCTTTCATTGAGAGTTGAAGCCACATAAAGGGCTACCTATAGGCTGGATTAAGGTGCCTTTGGGCATTGAATACTGATAGGTGAGTGAAGCCGCCCAGAGGGGGAAAGGGCTACCGTCGGGTCAGTGTCGATAGAGTGAAAGCCGCCGTGGACGTCGGCCCTTAAAGGGGGTGGCAATGTTACAAGTCCCGCATTGGTTTCCTATACAACTAATGTGGGATTTATAAAGTCTTGGGCACTCTCACCCTTTGAGCTAGCTTTTGGGGTGGTGATCTCAAGGTCCGTAACAATTGGTAATGTTACAAGTCCCGCATTGGTTGCCTATACAACTAATGTGGGATTTATAAAGTCTTGGGCACTCCCACCCTTTGAGCTAGCTTTTGGGGTGGTGATCTCAAGGTCCGTAACAATTGGTGCTTTCATTGAGAGTTGAAGCCACAGAAAGGGCTACCTATAGGCTGGATTAAGGTGCCTTTGGGCATTGAATACTGATAGGTGAGTGAAGCCGCCCAGAGGGGGAAAGGGCTACCGTCGGGTCAGTGTCGATAGAGTGAAAGCCCCGTGGACGTCGGCCCTTAAAGGGGGTGGCAATGTTACAAGTCCCGCATTGGTTGCCTATACAACTAATGTGGGATTTATAAAGTCTTGGGCACTCCCACCCTTTGAGCTAGCTTTTGGGGTGGTGATCTCAAGGTCCGTAACACTTGCTCGCTGCATCAAGCAAGTCAACGAGCATTAACATATTTCCTCGCTATGTTGCTCGCTACATCGAGCAACCTAACTAGCAGGACGTAATTTTCAGCTGCAGCAAGCATCTCGTAAAGAAAAGCACATGGATCTTTTTATAAAAAGGGAATGAAAGAGGGAAAGATATAGCATTATTCTGCGACTGAGAAGAGGAAGGAGCTCTGTTCTGGACCTGAGGAGCGGAGGAAAGGATTGAGGCTTCACCGTAGAGATCAACAACAGAGTTCTTTCATGATTTTCGTTAATTTTTCATCTTTTGTCTTAGTTTTCCTGACTATGTCAGGCTAAGATTTCTTGTAGTTTGAGTTAAATGGAACCAATAAATTCTTAATTATATTTACTCGTTTCCTTTCAATTTAATATTCAATCTTTCATGTTGTGCAATTATTCCGTGTTTTATTCATAATTGTTATGTTTTGTTTAATCTAGGGACAAACTAATGAAACCTATGACTATGTTAATTCACTGCTCTTAATGCTTGTCATGAGCGGGATCACTAAGAGATTAGGATTCTTAATAGGTCAAAGAATGGAAATACCATGGGATTGGGTTTTGATTAATCTATAATGAATTGCCAATAACATGAGTTTGAATGTTAATTAAAGGAAATGGTAGATTAATTAGGAGAAAATTAGAGAAATCGAAACCTTAGCTATGGTTTTGCATTGTTGATTTTTATTCTAAGTTTCAATTTGAGTTCTTGATTTTGTTCTTTATTATAATTGTTTGGTAGTTTTAGTTCCTGTTTTTGTATTTCAATCATATTCATAAAAATCATTCCAGCTGATCCAACTTTGGTAGAGTAGTGAAAATAGTGCTTGATAGATCAATCCTCGTGAAAACGATATCTTACTCATCTCTTTATTACTTGTACTGTCGGTATATTTGTCATGATCGCAATAGTGCACAAGCGGTTAGTTACAAGACAACTTTTTGTGTTGTTAGTTATTTGATGATGGTTGTACATATGATAAAAAATGTTATGATATTAATTATTTAAGAAAAATATTACTCTCATTTCACATAAGATAACTTCTCTCACGCTCTGTCACTTTGATTTTTTTTTTTTTTTTTTTTTTTGATAACAGTCACTTTGATTTTTGTATACCAAGTTTTTTCTTTTTTTTCTTGTAATGATGGAATCCATCCATTTTGTCTCTACAACATAAGATAACTATTTATGTGAAATGAGAGTAATAAAGCTCATTATTTAATAGTGTAAATATTAAATAAAACAATGTTAAATACTTTTTGTGTTACACGTTATTTCGTGCGCAGCGCAGTTTTAAAAGTGAGAAGGCAAGAAGTATTGATTTTGTCTCTCTGTTTTTATATCATGGAAAAAATTATGTAACCTAATTTTAATAAAAATTCAAGTATTATGCTATCAGTTGTGTTGTTTTTTGTCTATTATTTTATTTCAAATATCAAATCAAATATATTTATTATTATCTTTTTGGTGTTATTCCTTATTTTTTAGGGAAAACGACTAATATTTTAAAATGGGTGTTCTAATAATTTTTGTAAAGCTGAATGCTTTAATAATTTAATACTGTTCTTGACTATATGCTAAAATCGATTAGTAACAGAAAACATACCTTTTTCAAGTCAGATGTATCACTTTATAAATAATACAAGACTGTTATGTGTCAATCTGACAACGAGAACTATTGGGTAAGGTTAAGATGTTTAATAGCACTGGCAGTAGAGTTTGTGTTTCTATGTATTGTAGTAGATACTCAACAAAAGCTGTTACCAGTATTGATGGTTCCTGGTTGCGTATCTTCGAGTAATTACTTGATACTTGTTCACTACGCTCATTGGGATCAACAAGCTGATGACGAGTTTCATTACCTTATAATCAAATGTATAAAAATTAATAAAGCCAAATTAAATTTTCATCCATTTTTTATTTTTTTTAGTTAACTCAACCCTAATTATCTTTCTTTGAGACGAGTTTGTTCTCCTGATATCCCTACAAGCTTCGACACTTTGAACTGGCTACGAGACTAATTCGGAGTGCAGATCAGGAATGAAGATGACAGGCGAGAATCCAACCGAAACACTTTCCTTTCCATTTAGTTAACACTCTTCCTACCCACTGAAGCTACCACTATTTTCTATTTTCATCTATTCTTACTCCTTCCTCCCCCTCCCCTTCCGAAAACAAACTCCAAGCTAGAAATACAGATCACAAATTCGTAATTTATGTCAAATAAAAGTCCAAGTATAGATATAATTCAGAACATTTTATTTCTTTCTTTTTTGGCCGTAGATTATATGATTCGGAGTATTTAACCTTGATTTATTTTTTCAAAAAAATAAAAATAAATTGCAAGTAAAGGGCATAGAGTCTTATCGAAACAAGCTTCAGAGGTGTAGTTATAGATCTCCAATGTAACATGATATTGTACTGATTGGGTATCAATCTTGAATTGAGTACAGGGGTCCATCTCCAGAAAAGATGTTCAATTCCAAATCTCACCATGGCAATTAAACAAGTGGAAATACACAATGATTTAGCCTTCTTGGTATTTTTTTTAATGAGCAAAATATAAGAAAAGCTTGTTCACCAAAAAATATATATATATATATAAGAAAAGCTCCAAATGATAGTAGCATTTATTCATAGAGAGCATGCTCCAATTACAGAGGAAAAGCCTTTGAGAACAATACCATATGTATGCAAGTTTTTCAGTAAAAAAAAGGGGGGGAAGGGTTTTGAAGAGCAAAAAGACAATCCCAAAAGTATTGGAAGAGTCAAAGAGGGCAGAGACTCTTAGCCCATGGCATACTTGTGTGTCCAGCTTCTAGCAGTGGACTCATACTTGCCTTTGTCAGTCTTATACATATGAGCAATTTCAGGCACAAGAGGGTCATCAGGATTTGGATCTGTTAGCAGAGAACATATAGAGAGCAACACCTGCATCATGATTTTCAACAATCAGTCACCACTCATATGAGACAGAAAGAAACTAATAGCTTCAACGAGGAAGGGGTCCAAAACATGACCTTGGATATGGTGAGAGCAGGACTCCATTGTTCTTTAAGTATGTCCAGGCAAATATTACCATTGCTGTTAATGTTGGGATGGAATACCTTACTCCTGAATGCAACCTGTATAATATGTTTTAGCATTTACAAAATATAAATATTAAAGACAAACCTTTGACCACACCAAAACAAAAAAAAAGACAAACCTTTGATTTAACAGAATCAATTTACATCGGTGTAAGAATATATATATATATATATGAACATGATCAATTTACAATAGCGTAAGAATAAGAATAGACTCTTTGGTTATCCAGTTTATAAATGATGGTTAAGAAAATGAGTACAAGAATGTAGTAAAAGGTTTTGGTATGTACCTTGGGAGGTTTGAAGGGATAATCAGGAGGGAAATGGATAGACACAAGGAAAACGCCACCAGCATAGGGACTTTCATTTGGACCAATGATTGTAGCTTGCCAATGAAACATGTCCTCACCTACAGGGCCTGAAATCCACCATAACAAGCATATCACACTACACTAATCTAGTGTGGTTACAGATAACATCAAGTAACTTAAATTCAAGTTTCATTTAATCTCTTTACCTGCACTGCATGAAGTTGGTGGGTCTCTTTGCAAGTCCTTGAGCTCCTTCAGTATTCTCTTGGAAGCCATTCAAGTGATTCTAGAATAGTAGAAGAGAAAATCAGGATGGATTGGAAAAGCAAAATAAATAATTAAGAACACTACAAGAAAGAAAAGAGGTTGCATCCATATTTAATGGAGCATGTAGGTGGTGTTGAGAAAGGGAGAGTGAACGGAATCAAGAGTTCCACTTGTCGTTTTTGACCTATGGAAGTGGGCACAGTATATATTCCTCAAGAAAAGGAAGATAAGATTTTAAAGAATCAACCAACTTTTAGAAATGGGAATGAGTGAAAGATGTTTGCCATATTACTTTGTATATTAGCCGCTTTCATTTATACAGGAATTAATACTTTGTCTTTTGTATGATGGCATGTCATATGCCATCATATCACCGTAACAAATAATATTCAGTCTTTATTCTCTCTTTTCTTCTTTCTTCTGTACCTAAATCCTATAATTTGAATATATCATTCCTTAGAAAATTATATCGAAGTTACTTTGACGGACACCTATTAGTTTGAGAGCTAATGAGTTCGATTTTCGTTAAACAAGATTCTAGTTAAGTCTTAAAATTAAAATTTAAAAAAATCTAATGAAAATTGTAAAAACTATGTTCTGTAGGCCTACCCGATTCATCAGAAACCAAGAATTCAGAGAAAAGCAAAAGAAGTTGAGCTGAACCAAAGGTGAAATTCACAAAGAATTGATGAATAATTAATTATAGTTTTGTTAACTACTTGTTGAGTAAAACATCTCTTGACTTTTCAAACATTTCTCTTTCTTCCGTTTTGCCTTGAGGTACCACTTCCCTTGTGAAATGCATCGATGCCAAAACAAGATACCAAGTTATTGGATGCCAAATAACAACCAATCAATGTCCATGTCCATAAAGAAGAAATAAGATCCTAACTTTGCTCGCCGTCTCAAACAGTCCACTCATTGAGTATCTGATAAAGCTATAAGAAGTGAAAGACGAATTTAGTTTTATTTTATGAATCCTTCAAAACAATGTATATTCCCTTGCAGAGATAGAGTTGTTGACAGCTCCATGGTATTCTCTACCCACCGTTATTAACTATTTTATGGTTTTCAAAGTTAACTAAGTCAACCGAACTTTGGATTACAAGTTAGAGCTTTACCATAACCACTTGAAAAACTAGGGAACAAATGGAAGAATGAACCCTTAATCAAACCAATTATATTCAGGCTGTTAAGCAGCTAACATAATTACATATACTTAGTTCATATCCAAAGCCACGTATGCAAGCACTTCCTAGATTAGATTACAACATGAATAGAACCCATGTCCACAGATGGAAATGGCCATTTAATAATCAATACAACAGGTAAACAGCCCAGAGAAACGCAAGAGTTGTCCACGCCAAACATATTGATATGGCTGTACAGATCCTACAGCCAAAGACAAATAGCTTGATGCTTATAAGCGAGCATTAATGTGGTCAGTTGAACATGGAGATTCCTTCATCAAGGTTGGAAATATTGATAAGATATAGAATGGCAAAGACTACCAGGAAATGGCTACAGTCATGTCATCCTCCACCAACTACATTATGAAGAACTGAAGATCACAAAATGGAACAGGCCTTTTGCCCCTTTCTCTTCTTTTTCTTCTGCTTTGGGGGCTGGAGTACTACTTTGATGGCCGCATCAAAAACAGCCTTCACATTCTGTATTCAAAAGGCAAAATATCAATAAGATCATGACATTCTTTAACCTCCAGAACTTTTAAAGATTCAAAGAACATATATGATATATGCACCTGCTGTGTTTTTGAACTACATTCAATGTAAACTGGAGCACCAATAAGTTTTCTCAGTTCCTCACCCTTCAGAAAAGACGGTAAATATTAAATCAGACCACTAACCTATCAATTAAGCTGATGCTTTAATTATGAACAACAAATAAAGGCTAAAAAGACAAAACAGTGAAATAGAAAACAAAGCAAAAGCAATTAATTGTATAAATGAAGCAAGCATTAGCAAATAAGAAGTACCTGCGCTGTAGTGATAGGCACTGCACCAGGATGGTCTTGAAAAAATTGCTTATCATCCCGAAGATCTACAAGACATAATTTGGTTGTCATGAAATGCCCAATCAAATTAATTCTGACATCTTTAGGATGGAACCATCAAATGCATAAAATTAAAACTAATATGTAGGAGGAACCACATTCCAAAAGCAACCATATGAAAACTATAAACAGAAATTTTTCATAACATAAGCTCTACTTTTGTTAAAAAATTATAAATTCTGATGAGCCATGAAGCCAAGGAATTATGTCAAGCACTGACTCCACCAAGGCAATTATTACTCATGTACTATGTACTTGCACTCTTCTGACTTCTTAAACTTCCTAAGTCCAAACTTCTCAAGCATTATCAGCGACCACTCATGTAGCATTGAAATCAGCCACTACGCTTGCCTTTTAGTTTTGCAGGAGGTAAACATTGAAAAAAGATGAAAAATTATCTTAGCTCTGCTATAAAAACTTAACAAGATAATTCCATGAAATAATTTGTTACATCTGAACCAATTATTGGTTAAAGTCATGACTGAGATAAGCTTGGAAGTTGGAAGATACAAAAGAACTTCCGTCTCTCAATCTCAACTTAAAAACAAGTTATCAAGGCAAGATAAAAATGCAGTTCAGATTCTAGAATTTAGGTTAAGACATCTATTGGGAGGTTGGCCTAAATAAATAAATAAGTAAATTCCCCCACTTTAAACAATGTGAGATATATACCATAAGTAAAATATGGCAATTGGTATCATCATTAAACGAAGAAACTTCACAATAACAAGGAGCTACAATTATGCTGAATGTTATCCGCCGGCGCCATGTAAGGAGCTCGACAACAGTGTAAATATAGTTAGAGAAGGTAATGAAGAAACAAGAATCTAACCAAGTTTTGTTCCAACAAGAATAATTGGAACACCAGGAGCATAATGCCTCAACTCAGGAATCCACTGAATAAAAGAGGAAAAAATTAGTCCAGAGTAGATAGGAACAAAAAATATAAAATGAATAATATCAAGCTTACTTTCTTGGCAATATTTTCATAGCTGGCCCTGCTTATGAGAGAGAAAGCAAGCAGGAATACATCTGCTCCACGATAGCTTAAGGGTCTTAATCTATTGTAATCTTCCTGGCCTGTTCCATAAGTTGAAAACATCAAAACAATGACAAGACACTCCTAAAATACAAGAAGAATGAGATATAACTTGTAAACTAAACTGACCAGCAGTATCCCACAACCCAAGATTCACAGTGCTCCCATCCACAACTACATTTGCACTGAAATTGTCAAAGACAGTCGGCACATAGTCCTGTTTCCAATGGATCACAAAGAAACACAAGATGTCACAACACAATTACTACATCCCAAAGCCATGCCCCCTCTGTCAGATAATTATAAGTCAAACAGCACAGCGGAAATTGTTTTGAAGATTATAGCATCAATTCAAGAACAAGAAGGATCGAAGTCCTAATTTCCAAAAATAACAATTCCAGCAAAGCAAATTACCTAGAGGAATCATTGTACCTCCATAGAGTCATATCAAATAGAAAGACAACATCTAAGAATCGAAATCAACACTAAAGATTCAATCCTAATATTTCCTCGTTCCTCTTTCCACCGAACAAATTACATAAAGGCCCAATTCAACGGGGTCGTGTCTAAGAAGTGCATACGAAATGATGGAAAAGACCCCAAATTTAACCTAATTTGAAGAAAGCTTATCACCAGCAACTTTAAATTAAAGGCTCAGACAACAGAACCAAGAAAACTCCAGCAACAAAAGAAAAAAAAAATATAAAAATTACAAGCAAGCCCATTTCTTAATTTGGAAGAACAACTAGGTCACATGCATCCCCAACTCATGTTTTTCTCATCACCTCAAAAACCCAACAACTTAGAACTTAAAGTGCACATAAAGTGGGAGTCTTTTTCTTAGTGCTTGGGACAATTTTCTTAGAGAAGAAACAGAAGCACTCACTGTAGGGAAAGTGTTGCTGGTGTAGGAGATAAGCATACAAGTCTTGCCGACGGCACCGTCACCCACCGTGACACACTTTATGAACCTGGAGGCACTCATTGTCGTTTGCTTCTTTCGGGTACCCACTTCAACTTTATTGTGTTTCTTGGGGGTATAAACCCTAATGATTCATGGGGCAATGCTGTTGTTTGTTCAAGTTGTGAGCTTTGTGCATGCCCAAGAAGAAAAGTGAGAGAGAGAGAGAGAGAGAGAGAGAGAAGTGACAATAAGAAAAGAAGAAAGGGTGTTTAGAGAAAAAGAAAAGAAAAGAAATTGAATTTTTGGGTACTGGTGCTGGTCCTGCTTATTGTAGAGCCAGCTCTTGCCAGCTATTGTTTATTATGATCTTTTTTTTCTACCAAATTTTAACCTCTATATAATACAATACATTACACCCACCAACTCCTCTCACTTTCATTTCAGTTTCACCTTCTTTCCCTTTTTTATAATCTATGTAGAGGGAAGATATTTTGATTACCAAAAATTTTCATTACCACCTTACTATCTATCTAATCACCATTGGATTAACATTTTCTCTCTCTTCAAAAACTTTTTAACATTCTCTCTTTGATCTAATGGTGATTTGATAAGTAGTAAGGTGGTAGTGAACACTTTTGGTAGTCAAAATATTCCTTCTCATCTATCTATCCATACATATTATAAAGACTTCAATGATGTAGAGGACACCCACTATTTTCCATTTTGATGCATTTAATGTCATCTAGAATCATTATTCTATTTTCAATCTCTTCATAATGCTTGCTATATATCGAAAATAAAGAGTTCATTTTTTTTTTCATGTCATTATGATTTTAAGATGTAGAAATTTTAATTAATATAAGATGTAGAAATATAATGTTGATTTTAAATTAAAATCTTAATTAATTTTAAGAATCCTGAGTTAAAAGTGGAAAAGGAATTTGCTGCTACATAATAAGCTTGCCTAATGTTTGTCGTTTGCTGTATACGAAGAAAATATATTTTTTCTGATTAATTGGTTTTCAATTTATTTATTTTCCCTTGAAGCTTTTCCCGAGTATTTAAATCGGAAGATGGATGTCATTAGGTCCGTGAACACCTGAAGTTAAATAGAAAACTGAAGAGGAAATTGCAAAATGTCTTTTGAGAATAAAGCAGCTTTTAGGATAGTATTAGAAGGATACATGTCTTAAGAAATGCATTCGTGCAATCAACTGAAATGCTTAAAAGGAGAGTGCTAGCAATCCAAAAATGGATGCAAGTAACAGTTGCCAGTGTTTTGGAACGATTAATTTATTCTCTATAAAATAAAAAGTTTCTTACTTAATTTTAATCGTTAATTGCATTTACATATAAGAATTAGCTTCTATTAAATTCTCATCTGTTTAAAAGGATTGAACTGAATCACTCATGGTTAAGCCTACTGCAATAGCTGGCAGGATGTTGAGGAGGGATTTCTTTGTAGGATCATTTGGCAGGGTGAAGAGTTTGTTGCTAGAATGTCTTGATTGGCCGAGAGAAATGTGGAGTTCATGCAACTGACACTCAAATTAGTATGTGAATAATGAGCTTTAGTCAATATGAGTTAGATGATTATATTTGGGCTTTAAGCCTCTCTTACACAATAGTTGGTTATCCTGCTTATGCTTGTTCCTACAAAGCATTCCAACACTCAAGTTAGTATGTGAATAATGAGATTTAATCGAGATGAATTAGATTATCATATTTGGACTTTGAGCTTCCGGTCATCCTACTTATGCCACCTTAGTAAAGCGGCATTTAACATCATTAGTGGGTAGGCTATTTCATGTGTTAGATACTTATTTATAGGCTATATCTTATAGGTATAGCGGAAACTAGGTATCTGCCCATTAGCTAATGACTATTAGGGTAGTTGTAGAGTTCTAGGTTATTGATATCGTAATTGTATGCCTTAGGATGACATCAACACGGGGTGGATGCATTTCTTTAGCTTTTTTTTTTGGATGTCAAACATAATTATCTCTTTGAGACGAATAGGCATTCTCGGGTATCCTATAAACTTCAATTCTTTAAGTCGACTATGGGTCTAATTGTGGGACAGATCGAGGATTAAGGTATTATATCCTTTTCAAAATGACATTGGTGGGGATTTTCTTTTCCGTTCTCTCAATTCACTTACATCTATTGAGCTACCATCATTAAATGTGTTTCTTTAGCTTTAAGTCTTAATTATTGGGTTTAATGGGTCATTTATGGATTAGGGCCTTGTATTCCACGTATGATAATTCCAAACCAAATTCAAATTTGCATATATTAATATATATGATTAATAAATTAAAACTATTAAATATAAATAGAATCCATCGTTAATATTTAGTATAACACTTACACTGATATGAATTAATTATGACCATTTTACAAACGTAAAGGAGTGAAATATGATTGGGGTGGAAAAAATATTTAAATAAAAATTATAAATAAAATATAACCTCATCTTTCACTGTACTTGATAAAAGGGTGGTCGGTAACGTGAGTAGGACACATGTGCAGGCAAGCTCTGTAAATATCACGTTGCTAGTAATAGTAAGGACAGTATGTATTAAATAAGTAATTAATGGCAAGTTAAAATGGTTCTGCCATACAATTTTTTGAGCAAATGTAACAGAATTCTGACAGAGAGAAAGAAACAGTGTCCGCTGCTCAATGAATTTATGTAATTGTGCAGCATATTGATTTAGTCCTATTTTTTTCTTCCTCACAAATTCTCTGTTCGAAGAATAAAATGGAAAGTCAAGTCAACAAATGCTTCCGTCCTGAACACGGAAGAGTTTTGCAACTGCTATAATAAATGAGAAGTGCTAAACAAATTAATAGTGCCAAAATATTATTATTAAGACGTTTGAGTCCATAATTTAATAGAAGTAGGATTCAAGTGATTAATGATAAAAGAGTACTAGTGAGTAAAGTAATAAAATCAGATGTATTATTTTTTTCGAAGATGTACTCTATGAGAGTATTGGAGATATTTTGATAATATAAGTGGGCAAATAGAAGTTATCGAGCAATAAAATAAGGGAAAAGTGTGTATAATTTTGAAGGATGCAAAGTTGTGTCATTTTAAGAGAGAGAAAGAGATAGATAAAGGAGGAGAGAGAGTTGACAAAAAAAATAAAGTTGTGGGTCCCACCTCTTTGTGAGAGTGAAATGATGTAAGTTGTGTAATTTAAAAGTATAGACACTTTTCCCATAAAATAAACTACAAATTTCAGAGTTCTTTACATTGGTGACCAAAATTTTCACACGCTTTTAATGCTTAATTACATATAATTAGAAACTTGTTGATATAAGAAAAGTTTTGATTCCGGGCATCAAATTTAAAGCTTAGAAAACTACGCATTAGGTATGAAAGCGAGGAAGATGATTGGGATGGACAATTCATTTTCCATTAAACCCACATGGAAGATGGTGACAAGAGTGAGCATAATGTGAAAGAAAGCAACACCTCTCATTACAATTATGTCACAATACACAACTGCAAAGAGACTGGACCACGCTTTTCCTTCCTTAGGAAGCGATTGCTTTTAGGGCGCCATTTATTCATGTGTAATTAAACCAAAGAAGCTACCAGTGAGTAGTGACATAAATTATCATTGGTCCTTCTTGTGTAGCATTGGTCCTTCTTGGTGCATCACACTAGACAAACATACTTAATTTCCAATTTATATAAACTTTTTTCATTCACCTAGCACTAAGTATGTGAATTTTATTTCCCTTAAAATTGCATGAAATAAATGGTTTTTGGGTACTGTGGCAAAAAAAGAAAAAAAAAGTAGTTGAGGGGCTAGTGTTATCCGCCACCTAATCAGATTAGTTGATTCAGGTCCATCTATGCCACTGTTTAAGCATAGGAACTATCATCTCAGTTCAAAGATTAAGCCCAACCAACATGTGAATGAAGACACAATCTGATTTATTATAAATTATGTTAATAAAGTCAACGGATTTTTATTTTTTTAGAAGACATGGTAGGTATCTCTTGGATTTTTTTAACCGAACTTACCTAAAAATAGCAATTTATCACAAACTAATCTATACCTAAACCTCGTGATCAACAGTTCACGACCTGATTTTAAGCAACCACCTAGATAGGTTATATTCAAAAAAAGAATGGTTCAAATTTCGAAGCATTGTTATTTATACAAAGAATTATAACAAAAAAAAATAACGAAACCTTTTCATAGACTGAGTCTCTGTCACATCTCACTGAACCTCCTTAGGCATAGTCAATCCGTTAACAGCCATTGTTGCACCCTTGAAACGAAAGCAACCTAAGAACATGTATAGGTATAGACCAGGGTTATAAAAATGGATTTTACTAATCTCATGTTAAAGGAAATAAGTTATCTCATGTCATAGAGATAAATTTGTGGACTCCATCACCTGAAAAATAAAAAATAAAAATGTGGCACAGTTATCAAAGTGTAGGAAAGAAAGTTATCATAGGTAACATAAGAGTAATTTTTTCTTATAAAAAGTGCGGTTTATATATTGGATTGGTTATGTATTTAATCCAATATAAAATTGGTGAATCGATTATGAATTGGATTTAACCAATATTAAATTTGCATTGATTTTTTTTTTTTTAATAATTTTAAAAAAATTTGGACAAAATATTTGAAAGATGCCATTAATAAAATTCAAACCTATATCGTGTGGATTATAAATTATAGCACTTACCACTAGATTAACTCTAATTATTAGTTAAAATATTTCTAATTTTATATTTATTATATATATTTAATTTATATGTTTGAACTAGTAATTCATTGATTGAATCGGTGATCCATTAACTTAATATTTTAACCGAGTCAATAATCGATTTGAGTTTGATAACACTCCTAATAAGATAATTGCTGTTCGGTAACATAAAAAAAAAAAAAAAAAAAAAAAGAGAGTTGAGGTGAAAAGTTACAACAAAAATGATAATTACTTAGCGGTGTCCTTTTCTTTAATATAGTTTTATTGGTACCTAACAAATCTTAGGATAAGGACTGTAACCCAAAAAAAACAACCCTCCAAATAGGGAAAATAGGACAAAGATTAATTTCTTTCTAAACCCGCAACATCAAAGAAGTTTAAAAAAAAAAATAAAAAAAAAAATCTAATGTACTGTTATATTTTTAGGTTGCACTCGTCTCACTCTTTATCAGGTAACAAGAAAACAACATGAAAAAGAGAAAGAGAATGGAAAGCAAGTGTCTTTATCTTTAAACCACTGGATATGAATTGACTCCACTTAAACTAAAGAAATGGCTAGTTATTCACCTTAAAATCAGTGTAAGACAATAGTCAT